CCCCCCCCCCCCTCCCCTTTCAAAAATGTGAAAGGAGGCATTGCTACACAACACCCTTACAGAGCAGGATACACGTTTGAATACTGTGAAAAGTTGTGTGCATTTATCTTCCATGAGCCTCCCTTTTACACGGCAATGCCTTCTGTTTATTTAATTCTGGCAAAATCGTTCTCTATTTGGAAATGATCGACTCCCTCCCCCCCCCCGCAATTCAGCAAGATTGTTCACTAAACTCCGGAGTATCTTCGTCTTTATCGATCCATTTTATTGGGCTTTTTCTGTGAGACTCATGTTTGAGCATTCAGTATCGAGCGCCTTTCTTGAGTGTGAGCTCTTCATGGGAAATCCCCAATTGAAATGCTAGAGGGCTCCAAGGCTTTTTGTCTGAAGAGAATTTTTTCGAGGAAATCTGATGTGCAATTCTCCAGTTCGCATTGGTTTGTTTCACGTTGAATATCATCCACAATCACCGTACTTTGATACAAGTTGCTCTCTTCCACGGTCCTAATCCTCATTCATTCTCGTTGAATGAAGAATGGCTTGGGTTTTTAAAGGAATCCACAGATTGTGTGAACATCTTGATCACACTTGAGCAAAAACAACCCATAAATGTGTTCCAAGAACTCGCTAAGCCGCCTTAATTAAAAATTTAACCTAACTATTGGCGTTTTTATTGACTATTGACAGCCATTTATTTACAATATTTCACCTTAAATGGTTATTTCCATGACAAAAATATAACCCAAAATGGACATATATCGGTGAATGAGGAATGATTGATAGGAGAAAGGCAGAAGGCGTGGGGAGAGGAATTGGTGGATACAGGGAGACGTCATTATTAAACATAGACCTTCCAGAGTGGATGGAAATGCCGAAAGGCACTTGACATGCTTCGTATTCCTTATTCAAGTCGAGTCCGAATGAAAGCAAGAGTCATTAATTACGCAACATATATGAAAACTGAACAGGCCTATGTGTGGTCAAGGATGCAGAAACTAACTAGACATTAATGGATGGTTTCGATTTTGCTATTGCTTTCCCTTCAACATTTGCGTTTAATGTACCTGGATAATCAGCTAAGCTTTATTTGTAATTGCAAGTTCAATTTCATACATTTACTTGGAGCTAACAATGTGGCCATAATTTCCCATTTTCTCAAATGTCCGCCTCCTTTATACATCTATTTATAGTTATTTATTTATATCAAATGGCAGGTGTTTTGATAGTTATCATTAGCCCTTTAATTGACTTCAGGCTTCACAGAGGTGAAGGAACATCAAAGTAAAAAAAAGTCGAGAAGGGGGGGGGGAATAGAAGAGAGTTTCAAAGATGTAAAAGAGACAGACAGACACAAAGGTAGAAAAAAGGTGAGATGAGTACTATGGAAGTAGTCGAATATAACATACAGTGAGGTGATAGTAGTTTGAAGTCAGTAGCCAACTACCGATTAATAGGCCTTTTGCCGTATGAGTATACGTTGCCCAGGGTGAACCACGTGGAGGTAAGTCTATCGCACACCCCAAGGAGGAGGAACATTAAAGCGAAAAATTCGAGAAGGAGGGGGGGGGGNGGGAACAGAAGAGTGATTCATAGATTTTAAGGGGTGTGTGATAGACTTCCCTCCACGTGGTGCAACCTGGGCAAAGTATACTCATACGGCAAAAAAGTCTATCACTCGGCATTTGACTTCTGACTTCAAACTACCATGGCCCCACTGTATGTCATATTCGACTACTACCACAGTTCTCATTCCACCTTTTTTCCACCTTATCTACCTTCGTCTTTGATACACTCTTCTGTCCCCCCCCTCTTGAATTTTTTGCACTTTGATGTTCCTTTCCCTCTGTGAAGACTGAAGTCAACTAAAGGGCTAATGATAATCAAAACGCCTGCCATTTGATATAATAATAATAATAATAATGTTAAGGCTACAGACACAAAGGTAGAGAAAAAGGCAAGGTGCGGTGAATACTGTGGAAGTTGTGAAATATGGCATACAGTGGGGTCGTGGTAGTTTGAAGTCAACTGCCGATTTATAGACTTTATTTGCTGTATGAGTATGCATTTCCCAATGCGCCCCATATGAATGCAAATGTATACCTCTCCCCCTTTTTACGTTATTACTTTAATCCATCCTTAAGTAAGTTTAATGGGTATTCGAAGTACATTTGTACGATACGGTATACTCTCATGGGGTCATTCCTTATTTACGCCAACTATTATCGCTTTTTTTACCAAATTCTCTGCAGGCTCTATTCTATTAACTCTCTCTCCTTCTCACACACCTTTGTTTCAAATTATTTTCTCCCATATTGTTTAATATTTAGCTTACGCCGTTCCTCCCAAGTGGAAATGTCTAGAAATAGTCCGCCTTCTGTCTAAATCACGTTGATAGTCCCATTAACCATCGTTCCTTCCTAACCAGACACACACTAATCAAAGTACCATAATGCATCGTTCTAATTAAATCAACTGGCTGGTCACCCAGATTGACTATCGCGGTTATTACCTAACCCCTCCACCCCAAATCTAGGAGTTAATGTTTGGAATGCGCATCTAAGATCAGTAGGAGAATAGGATCGCCAAATTTTTCCGCAGTTCCTAATTTATTGCGTCTTCTTGGTCCCAATAAACCCCCTTTTTACTTCGTGGGGTTCATGCGCTATTCGCCTTAAGCGCTAACATATGAGTAAAACCTGAAATTTCGACCGCTTATTCAAACAAAAACTATACTAACTGCCTAGCTGAGATTATTTTTGATTCACCCAGTGCGAATCGTAAAATGCGCAACCTGGAAACCAATATAAACAAAAGACGATCATTTCGATAGATTGAATCTATTTTCTCAAGGAGTAATCGAATTACTTAAATATATTTCATAATACGATTAAAAAATTTATTTATATCAAATGGCAGGCATTTGGATAGTTATCAATAGCCCTTTGATTGATTTCAGGCCTCACAGAGGGGAAGGAACATCAAAGTGAAAAAAGTCGAGAGGGGAGAGGGAGGAACAGAATGGTGTTTCAAAGATGTAAAAGAGATAGACACAAAGGTAGAAAAAAAGTGAGGCGAGTACTGTGAAAATGATCGAATATGACATGGAGTCAGGTCATGATAGTTTGAAGTCAGAAGTCAACTGCCGATTAATAGGCTTTTTTGCCGTATGAGTATACGCTGTCCAAGGTGCACTACGTGGAGGTTGGGTCTATCGCACACCCCACGATTAAAAAAATAATTATCATATTTTATACAAAACATTACTGTCTTATAATTAAAGCCAAAAAGAAAATTATTGGAAAGAAAGTTTGAAAATGTTGCTGAATATGGAATGTCAAAAGCAAAAATGGTCTATTTTTTTGACATCGCTAATAAGTCTCCTCTTGAACACTTTTCTCAAGATGGTTTTTCTTACCGCAAAACCATGACAATATTTTAAGAGGCGAAAAAATTGTGGGCTAGTCGGATAGCACCTAATTAGTAATTTATTAATTAAGACAAAACATATATTCGCAAAATGTCTGAAAGGTGTGTCCACATTTTTACTGCATGCTTTTGCTGACATTTTGTTTTCTGCTGATAAAAATATGAAAATTGATGAGAGAACGTTATTTGATAACAAAAAATATTTTTTTTGAAAATATTTCCTCTAAATTTTTTACACAAAAATCTAAGCGAATTTCGTTCAATCAAATAAGTAAGTGAACCTTCATTAGAAATCAATTAGCTCTGCTGTGGAGCACACAACGTTGTCATCGTTGAGCGCGGTTTCACATGAGCACCCAGACAGACTTGAAGGTGTCTCCGTGTAACTTCGCGCAGGAAGTGAGAGCGTATGTAAGCACGGAGAGCACCCAGCAAAACGTCAATCAATACTCCTAGCCTGGCTTAGCAAACCTGCCATATTAACGTTATGACTTAGCTCATTGTCTGTACACCCGTCCACTCATACACATCCAAAATAAACGCGTTCCGTGTGATACGTCTGTTTCTTCGATAGCTTTGCGTTAGCTTAGCTAATTCTAGAAGACATTCCAAAAGTAGGAGAATCCGCCATAGATTTCTGAATTTAGTCAATGCTTATTAACATTGCAAAGCTATTTAAACAATGATGTCAACAGCTTGAAGTTTGAAACGGCTGTAAGACCCTATTGTCAAGATTGCCTACAACTGCACAGACTCCGTAGTGGGGGGGAGGGAAGAGCTCTGACTACACAAGGTTACTCGGACTGGGGCAAGCCTTTTAGTAATCTAATTGGTAACGCTGATTGCCACATAGAATCCACTGAGATAGATTAGGAGAATACGGAAATAATAGTTGAAATTCATTATTTGATCGAGGCAGAAGATGCCCAATCAGATAACAGATCAGTCATGGTTATGGTATTGAAATGATAAGCTCTAGATGTGGTATTGGTATTTCACGCCCAGAGCAGAAGTAAGCGTTCATTCTACTTCTCACCGGGCCAATTGAATCGTGATGCGTTTGCCTGAAGCAATTGGATCACATTAAGAAGGATCGATAGATTCGATATTTTGGTGAAATAAAACCCCCACTGAACCCTAGCCTTTTACGTACTATGACCCCGTGATTCCTCCCTATCCTTTTACTTTCAAGAAATTTCAATCAACGGTTCATTCGACACCTTCTCGTACATATAGCAGCTGAAATGCATATGTCATATTTCATTTTCAAATTGCTAATTTTGACAATTTGAATGTTTTTGGCTCAGAAAATTGAGATTCAACTACGTATATTTGCTCTCTGATCAATTAAATATTGGATAAGCCCAGGTTCAACAACCTATTCAAAATTAAATTGATACATTTTTATTCCCATGAAGTCAACCTTAAACATTTATTTATTTAAATCAAATGGCAGGCGTTTTGATGGTTATCATTGGCCCTTTAGTTGACTTCAGGCTTCACAGAGTGTAAGGAACATCAAAGTGAAAAAGTCGAGAGGGGGGGGGGAACAGAGGAGTGTTTCAAAGACGAAGGTAGAAAAGGTAGAAAAAAGGTGAGGTGAGTACTGTGGAAGTTGTCAAATATGACATACAGTAGGGTGATGGTAGTTTGAAGTCAGAAGTCAACTGCCGGTTAATAGACTTTTTTGCCGCATGAGTAAATGCTGCCCAGGGTGAACCACATGGAAATAAGTCTATTGCACACCCCGATTTTCAAGAAGAAATTTATAGAAATTTTTGTATTTCGTTAAGGGTTGACTAATTTCTTGAGTTAACTTTTCTTATTTTGCTTTGAATTTGCACACGAAGTGCGTTTGAAGTTCTTTAAAACTTATTTTAGGCCAAAATTAATGTAATAGAGGACTGCAGTAATACAGAATGCTACTGTCCACATTTTCTAGGTTCTGACATCATGCCCAAAGCAACTTCAACTCGAATAATCGCGGGTTTCTGGGGCTTCTTCACCCTGATAATAATCTCTTCATACACCGCCAACTTGGCAGCATTTCTGACGGTGGAAAGAATGCAATCGCCAATAGAGGATGTTAGAGACCTCGCAATGCAGACTAAGATTCAATATGGTGCCCGAAGCGGCGGTTCATCGGAGGCATTTTTCTCTGTATATTTCATACTACTTATTGTGTACTGAAGTAGAAATTGGTCATTCCGACCTCATCTTTTACTTTAGAAATCAAATCATTCAATTTACCAGCGCATGTGGCAATTTATGTCCAGTCACAAAGGCGTGATGATTAATAACACCACACAGGCGATTGAAAGAGTGAAAAAGGGTGGCTATGCCTACATCCTCGAATCAACCATGAATGAGTACTACACTCAACGCGACTGTGATCTTACGCAAATTGGAAACAATCTTGACTCTAAGGGTTATGGCATTGGATTTCCTCATGGTTAGTCATTTTTAAGATTTTACACTAGGAGATTACCGCTAACTTGAATAGTCTTGTTATTAAGGTAAGAACTGAGGCTTTGATCTTGTTAATGGTTAAACACATTAATAAGAAACCGTTAAAAAGAGCATTAGCTATATATGTAAGGGTAAGACAAAGGCATTGGAGTTTGTCTTATCTGTACCACTGATGGGTAATCTACCTATATTAATGTCCGTAAATAAGTACAATATCGTGGATGGGGTCAGTTTGATGAACAGGAACGCAAAACCATCTCTATGACACAGGAAACGCCCCCCCCCCCTTAAATTAAACGCATAACTACTTCCGAGTTGGGTATAAATTTGTCAGATATTTAGATGCTCGTGTAAACCGAGTACAATTTCAACATTTCACCCCCCTCCCGCCCCGNCCCCCACTGAACCCTAGCCTTTTACGTACTATGACCCCGTGATTCCTCCCTATCCTTTTACTTTCAAGAAATTTCAATCAACGGTTCATTCGACACCTTCTCGTACATATAGCAGCTGAAATGCATATGTCATATTTCATTTTCAAATTGCTAATTTTGACAATTTGAATGTTTTTGGCTCAGAAAATTGAGATTCAACTACGTATATTTGCTCTCTGATCAATTAAATATTGGATAAGCCCAGGTTCAACAACCTATTCAAAATTAAATTGATACATTTTTATTCCCATGAAGTCAACCTTAAACATTTATTTATTTAAATCAAATGGCAGGCGTTTTGATGGTTATCATTGGCCCTTTAGTTGACTTCAGGCTTCACAGAGTGTAAGGAACATCAAAGTGAAAAAGTCGAGAGGGGGGGGGGAACAGAAGAGCGTTTCAAAGACGAAGGTAGAAAGGGTAGAAAAAGGGTGAGGTGAGTACTGTGAAAGTAGTCGAATGGGACATACAATGAAGTGATGGTAGTTTGAAGTGAGAAGTCAACTGCCAGTTAATAGACTTTTTTGCCGTATGAGTATACGTTACCCAGGGTGCACCACGTGGAGGAAAGTCTATCGCACAACCCCTCGATATTAAACATAAATATATGTATTTTCATATGCATACTAAAAATAGCGTCATTAATAAATTTTATTGGACTAAATAGATTTCAAGTTCGTGATCTATGCAATTAAAGAATTGTTCTTAGACGTTAGTTTCCGAATATTCAAGTTCTGAGAGGACTAGATATGAACTTTGTCATTTTTCCACTCTTGCTACACTTCACTTGAATTGTTTAACCCTTAGAAGCCTCCAATTACACCTTAATTCAAATTCAGTAATAAAATTTAAATTAACCAAAGATTCTAATATTCTTGGCGCTACCCCTGGATTTTAGAGCAATAAAACAGGCCTGTGAAATTGTAAATGATTAAAAATAGACTTAGTGGACACATCAAATTGTTACTTCAACTTCAGCATATTTTTCTGTTTGGAGAAAAGTATTTCATTTTTTTCAAACGACAAAAAAATAAAAGAACAGAAATAAAAATGCTTTTTAAGAGGACCGGAAAGAGGCTCCAAAAGAAAGACCCCCCAAAGTGCCTTCACGTAATTGCCATCTGAAGGTCATACTGATATTAAGGCCAGACTGATTGGACACTCCGATAATAATAACTGACTTGACGTCGAGTGCTCGCCGAAAAGCATAGCACCGGCTTCTCGGCGTTGAGAAATTGTGGCAAATGCGGTCTGATGAAGACTTAACTAGTAAGCCTCAAAAATGAAGAATCATACTGGAGTGAGGAAATGGCAGCCGAACCAAAAACTGTAAAGAGCAGAAGGGCTTCCTCCGTGAACAATAATTTTACTCACCAAGGCAAGTTTAAACTCCTCAGATGTAATGTACATTTTGGTTTGGAATTATATCGTCAATATTTCGTCACTTTCCTTAGCCTGACTCAGTAAAATAAAGCTTTTAGTTAGCCAATCCTCAAGTTCAAACAAAAACGCTGTTATACGAAACAGGAAACTTTACAATTTTAAGATTCATTAAGGAGGCTAATATATATATTTCCATGCAGAAGGGTGCGTGATAAACTTACCTCCACGTGATGCACTCTGGACGACGTATACTCATACGAAAAGAAAATATATAAACCGACAGTTGGCTTCTCACTTCAAATTATCATGACCCAGCCGTATGTCATATTCACCACACCTTACCCTTCCCTCTACCTCTGTGTCAGTCTGTCTCTTTTACATCGGTGAATCACTCTTTTGTCCCCCTCTCGACTTTGATGCTCCTCCTCCCTGTGAAACCCGAAATCAACTTATGGGCTAATGCTAAATATCATTAGAACAATTTTACCTTTCCATCTCTACTAAGAAAAAAGATTATTTTTCCGTCTCAACCATTCGAATGAGAAGTGAGTTTGAGTGGAACGACCGATCGAATTTGCGGCCATCTGACGGGCAAACCATGATATTAGAGATTTTGTAAGAGCATTACTTTTGCAGCAAATATTATGCCATCTGAATTCAAGAATTAAATGAATCAAAACACTTCGAATCTCTTTAGCCTTCTTCCGATCGACTCCTTGTCGGCCTTTATTCCACGTTATGTCGGCTATTCCCATCTGATGACCAAAATTTAAATTTGTATAGTTTATTTAACAAAACTGCGTTATAATGCAGTAATGCTGATAGAAATGAGTACAAGTCGATGAAGATAGGCAGTAAAATGCTCACTAAAAGTAAAGTTCCTTTGAAAGCGCATTTGAAACGATGACGCTGTAGGTCTTTGAGGTGCTTGAGAGATGACATTAAGAATTTATGACTGGTAAACATTTCACGAATCTTTACTAACACTCATGATTCCAATTTAATAGACCTTAAAATTCAATACTTATTGATTATTGTAAAAGACAAAATTAATGGTTAATGAGGGTAATTCTTTTGCAGATATTATATCAATGTATTCAGCTTTACACATTCTGAAATCTTTCCCAACTGCCATTGCACTCCATAACTATACTGTAAGTGTGCTATTGATTTTTATATTAAAATTATGGGATGTATTATAGACTTGCATCCTGGGCAATGCATACCCATACGGCAAAAGAGTCTATTAATCGGCAGTTGACTTCTGACTTCCAACTACCATCACCCCACTGTTTGTCATATTCAACTACTTCCACAGTACCCACCTCACTATGTTTCTCTCTTTGTGTCTGTCCTTTTACTTCTTTGAAACTCTCTTCTGTTCCCACCCCCCTCTCGGCTTTTTTACACTTTGATGTCCCTTCTCCTCTGTGAAGCCTGAAGTCAGCTAAAGAGCTAATGTTAACTATCGAAATGCCTGCCATTTGATATTAAATTAAATTAAATTATTAAGCTGTTGGTTATTAAGTAACCATAATTTCAGCCACAAATTTTGTTTATTTAACCTGAGTGAGTGGCGGTAGGGCAGAAACGGAGGCAAGCACAAAGAGAATTGATTTGTTCTCCAGTGAACTACATACAGCTTCCTGTTTATCCCAAAAAAGTGATGAAGAGGGAGGTCCTTTGAAGCGTGAATGCAACTGATTGACATTTTAATAAAGCTGAGCTAGTATTTCTTCTTAATTTAGACGCAAGTGAGTTCAAAGGTCATTTAAATCATGAGAAAAGACTGATATTTACTATATCGGAAAGAAGGACAAGTTCAGTTTTGTGAACTCTCTCTTGATAATGGAATATTGATAACATTTAAAATATCTACGAAATTTCAGGGCACAATAAAATGATCCGTCATTACTCAGTCGAATCGTTTCCTTGCTGTCTGCAACGCTTTACATCGATCAATGAAGTCCAGTATTTGGGGCAAGTTTTTTGCCTGGCAAAGCGCTATTGGAACAAATTCTGTAGCAAGGTAATAAATAGACCATAAATTACCTCGTCGAATGACTGAATTACAGACTAGATTTTTTTCTGGTTACATCTCCCTCTCCTCTCGCCTCCCCCACAATCTCCTGAGTAATGGTAGGTGCGCCATATCAAACAGGCATTAACACACACCTTAGAACATTTTAACAACATTTTATAATGCTCTCACATTGCAAGTGACGTCGAAATTCAAATCAATATCTTTTAAACCTTCCATAAATATATATATATATATCAAATGGCAGGCGTTTTGATAGCTATTATTAGCCCTTTAGCTGAATTCGGACTTCACAGAGGGGAGGAACAGACAAAGTCACAAAAAGTGGAGAGAGGGGAGAGAAGAGTGATTCCCAGATGTAAAAGAGACGGGGAGAAGGACACTGATATAGTAAAAAAGTTAAGGTGTGGTGAGTACTGTGAAAGTGGCCGAATATGACATACAGTGGGGCACCGTTAGTTTGAAGTGAGAAGTCAGCTGCTGGTTTAAAGACGTAAGTCTATCGCATATATATATGAATACAAGTTGGTAGCTCGTTGTTGACAAATAATTGGAAATGATGATTTCGTATTAATTATTCATGAACAAACCCAAACACAAATTGAATTATCCGATGAAAGTAAGCAGTAAATTGAGATAGGGGGGGGGGAGGAATTAGAATGGAACCAAGGAGAAAAAACACATGAAATTTGCAAACTTGTCAAAGAAGCAGCAACAGACCGAGTTCATTACGAAGCAGAAAATACCTAAGTTGTGTAGAAGTTTATTTATTTATATCAAATGGCAGGCGTTTTGATGGTTATCATTAGTCCTTTAGTTGACTTCAGGCTACACAGAAGGGAAAGAACATCGAAGTGGAAAAAAAGTCGAGAGGGGGGGGGGAACA